TTTTTTTTTTTTTTGAGGTGGAATCCCGCTCTGTCACCCAGGCTGGAGTGCACCCAGCTGAGTGGTGCCATCTCAGCTCACTGTAGCCTCTGCCTCCCAGGTACAAGCGATTCTCCTGCCTCAGCTTCATAAGTAACTGGGATCACAGGCATGTGCCACCATGCCCAGCTAATTTTTGTATTTTTAGTAGAGATAGAGTTTTACCATGTTGGCCAGGCTGGTCTCAAACTCCTGACCTGAAGTTATCTGCCCACTTCAGCCTCCCAAAGTGCTGGGATTACAGGTGTGAGCCACTGTGCCCAGCCTAATTTTTGTATTTTTGTAGATATGGGGTTTTGCTGTGTTGGCCAGGCTGGTTGAACTCCTGACCTCAAGCGATCTGCCCATTTCACCCTCCTGAAGTGCTGGGATTACAGGCATGCACCACCATGCTTGGCCCTAGATAGCTTTTATTTATATTTATTTATTTATTTTGAGACAGAGTTTTGCTCTTGTCACCTAGGCCGGCGCACAATGGTGCAATCTTAGCTCACTGCAACCTCCACCTCCCGGGTCTAAGCATTTCTCCTGCCTCAGCCTCCTGAGTAGCTGGGATTATGGAAGGGCACCACCATGCCCAGCTAATTTTGTATTTTTAGTAGATGAGATGGGGTTTCACCATGTTGGCCAGGCTGATCTTGAACTCCAGACTTCAGGTGATCTGCCTGCCTTGGCCTCCCAAAGTGTTGGGATTACAGGCGTGAGCCAACACGCCCAGCCCCGAGAGAGCTTATTAATTATTTATTTATTTAGATGGAGTCTTTCTCTGCTGGCCCCTAGATAGTTTGTTTATTTATTTATTTAGATGGAGTCTTGCTCTGTTGCCCAGACTGGAGTGCAGTGGCACAATCTTGGCTCACTGTAACCTCTGCCTCCTTGGGTTCAAGTAATTCTTCTGCCTCTGCCTACCGAGTAGCTGGGATTACAGGCACTCACCACCATGCCCAGCTAATTTTTGTATTTTTGGTAGAGACAGGGTTTCACCGTGTTGGCCAGGCTGGCCTTGAACTCCTGACTTCAAGTGATCTACTTGCCTCAGCCTCCAAAATGCTGGGATTATAGGTGTGAGCCATCATGCCTGGCCTAGATAGTTTTTAAATGGTGTTGAGCTGAATGATACCTTGAGCCAAAAGCGTGGAAGTGAAGAGGTCAGTGGTCTCATTCTGAGGTGGGCTTCACCCACTTTCCCAGCTGCTGATCACCCGTGCCAAAGTTAAGAATGACTCCTCAGGGACACGCTGGAGCAGAGAACCCATCCTGTGCCATGTCATGTCATCTGGGTTAAGAGTTCCGCCAGCCACTCAATCTCTCCTGTATTGAGCAACTTCAAAGTCATACCCTGTTTCTCCTGCTGCCTCACCCCTCCACATCCAACGTCTACCAAATGCTATCTAGTCTCTTTCAAAGGTGCCTCTCAAAGTCAGCCGTTCCCACTCTTGCCTCCTGTTGGGTCTCCCTAACTTGCTTCTCCCTGCTCTGCTCCCACATCACATAGTTCCTCCTTACGACTTCAAGTGACATTAAAAGCACAACACATAGCACATGTAATTCCACACATGACACTCTGTGCCCCCAGTACCTCTAGGGATGATTACCAGTTGCATGTGGCAGGCGTACCAAGGCTCCCCATGCACTAGCCCCAACCTAACCACACTGCATTCTACCTCTGTCCTGTGAAACCTGGGCTGCAGCTACACCACCCTTTGCAACATCTCTCAGTATTGCCAGACACTTTGACGAGCCATCCTATTCCCTCTGCTTGTAAATGCCTTTCCCCTTGTTCACTTGGCAAATTTCCGCTCATGCTTCAAGACCACACTCACACATCACCTCTACCAGAGTCTCTCCACACTCTCCCAGGAGAGGTACCAATTCCTCCTGGGTTTCTGACGTAGCTCATGATTTATACCATTAGTGAAACACTTCCATGGAGTCTTCTAATGTATCAGGTTATATATTACCCCGCTAGACTGGGACACATTAGGGAGCAACACTTCTCTGATTCCCCCATGCTTAACAGTGTGTCTGGCACATAGCGGGCATTCAATAAGTGATCATGAGTGAATTTTCTAACCTGTTCATTGAAGGTCATTTCTTTCGGCAATGGTCAGTAATGTGATTTGGCTGCATACAGAACAGCTTCTATATCATGAAGTGAAAGTGACCCCACTGATGTGCTTCTGCATTTTTTAGCAGAATGAGATAAAATCCACATGCACAGTAATGAAGTATATACTCTAACTAAGACCATGTGCAGAGGGATGGGTAGATAAGTATTTTGATTTTCTTTATTTCTCACCCTTGGGTTCAGATAGTATAGTTTCCTTTGCCCATAGAGAGGATGAGCTGACAGAATGTGCTTTTGTTTGTATTCTTACATTTTTTTGTTCTCTCTCTTTCTTTCTTTCCTTTTATTTTATTTTAGCTAGGGTATCACTCTGCTGCTTAGGCTGAAGTGTAGTGGCATGACCACAGCTTACTGAAGCCTCTACCTCCCTGGAACCAGGTGATTCTCCCACCTCAGGACCCCAAGTAGCTGGGAGTATAGGCATGAGACACCACACCTGGCTAATTTTCATATATATATATATATTTTTTGGAGACGGAGTTTTGCTCTTGTTACCCAGGCTGGAGTGCAATGGCGCAATCTCAGCTCACCGCAACCTCCGCCTCCTGGGTTCAAGCAATTCTCCTGCCTCAGCCTCCTGAGTAGCTGGGATTACAGGCACACGCCACCATGCCCAGCTAATTTTTTGTAGCTTTAGTAGAGACGGGGTTTCACCATGTTGACCAGGATGGACTCGATCTCTTGACCTTGTGATCCACCCGCCTCGGCCTCCCAAAGTGCTGGGATTACAAGCGTAAGCCACTGCGCCCGGCCTAATTTTCATATTTTTTGTAGAGACAGGGTCTCCCTGTGTTGCCCAGGCTGGTCTTAAACTCCTGGGCTCAAGCAATATGCCCACCTTGGCTTCCCAAAGTGCTGAGATTATAGGCATAAGTCACTGTGCCTGGCTGGTTAATTTTTAATTAAAGTAATGTTTAGAGCACCTTTTTTTTTTTTTTTGAGATGGAGTTTCACTTAGTTGCCCAGGCTGGAGTGCAGTGGTACAATCTGAGCTCACCACAACCTCCACTTCCTGGGTTCAAGTATTCTTCTGCCTCAGCCTGCTGAGTAGCTGGGATTATAGGCTCATGCCACCATACCCGGCTGATTTTTATATTTTGAGTTGAGACGGGGTTTCACCACGCTGGCCAGGGTGGTCTTGAACTCCTGATGTTGTAATCCACCCCCCTCAGCCTCCCAAAGTGCTGGGATTACAGGCGTGAGCCACCGCGCCAGGCTTAGAGTACTTTTATAGATAAAATCAGGTTCAGAATTTAAGTTACTTGTCCCCAAATCATCATGTCAGTGAGCAAAACAGTTCAAACTAAGACCAAGGGCTCCAGCCTTCGGGTTCCATATTCTTTTCCAACACTGTGCTAGTGTGAGCAGGGTATGTCTCTGTGAAAATAGTGCATCTAGTAACATACACCCAGATATTGGAGACAGAAGGGTCCAATTTTGAGTTTCAATCTTATGATATATTATGTAACTTATAGTTTATTTAGTAAACATTTGTTTTTCATATGTTCTCAATGAGAAGCATCTATTTATGTGTAAGTAATAGAAAATGAATATGCACAGGATTTGTTAAAGACTAAAGTCCAGGGCAGGTGTAGTGGCTTACGCCTATAATCCTAACACTTTGGGAGACCAAGGTGGGTGGTTCATGTGAGGCCGGGAATTAGAAACCAGCCTGGGCAACATAGTGAAGCACCATCTCTACTAAAAAAACAAACAGTAGCCAGGCATGGTGGCACATGCCTGTAATCCCACCTACTAGGGAGGCTGAGGCAAGAGAATCGCTAGAACACAGGAGCGGACGTTGCAGTAGCTGAGATAGCACCACTGCACTCCAGCCTGGGCAACAGAGTGAGTCTCCATCTCAAAAAACAAATAAACAAAGAACAACCCCAAAACACTAATTCTGTAATTCTGATTTTATGCAACTACTGTCTATCAAGGGTCCACAGAATTGTCTAAGCAATGTTATATTTGTTTTCACCTTTTTTACATAGATAATTGGTCTTCCCAGCAATATTAAAAATACCTAGAATATTAGCACATCGCTTACATTTATCTGTTAGTCATTTATTGTTTTTCCCCTGTAGCTACAGCTCATGCCCATTTTTTCCCTCATCTAGTCCTTGTTACAGTGCTGTAAAGGGTGAGAAAAACAGCTGAAAGCTGAAGGCTTTGCCCAACCTGGTCTTCTCCCTCTTCATGCTGGCTGCTGTGTGAGAAGTCCTGCTGACCCGTGCGTTGTCTTGGTGATCAATGAACTAACATCTGTTAGTTTTTTGTTCTGTTTTGTTTCTTTTGAGACGGAGTTTCCTTTTTGTTGCTCAGACTGGAGTGCAATGGTGTGATCTCAGCTCACCACAACCTCCGCCTCCCGGGTTCAAGTGATTCTCCTGCCTCAGCCTCCTGAGTAGCTGGGATTACAG